AAATTGAACTATTTTTATTATAAATAATAAAATTGTCTATTATAATTCTTTACATATGTGGAATTAAAATAGAAATGAATTTAGGAGCTGAATAGATGAAAAACAAGATTAAATATTACTAGCGGTAGTTTTATCTATACAACAAAAAAATTTCTATCAATAGAGAATAACTATTTTATAGAAGAGTATTTATTAGCAAATCAGCTGGCTCGAACATAAAGAATCCTCAAAATCATAGTAAATGACCCCTTGAGGGAGAGGATGAGCGTGAACGTAAGAACTCGAGATTAGAAGAACAAGAATGAGTGTGAACAAGAGTGAAAGAGTTGTTTTTGCTGACATTTTAAATTATTAATTGACTTATTGAATAGATTAGTGGTATTATTTTTTGAGTTTTAATTGTTCTGTTGTATATTGATATTCTTTGAAAGAAATGTTACGCTGCTCGAACTCTTTATATATCTCAGAATTTCTACAAAATCTAGTATTAATTATTGCAATGAAGTGTTTTTTGTGTGTTAGCTTTTAATTTGCTAAGCACAAGTAATGGGGCTGACGGTTTAAAGCCTCTGATAATAATATTACAAAGTCACTTTCTATATCTTTATTATAACAATAAGTAAATAAATTTTCGTTTGCATATCTAGACTTGGATTTTAAAATTTAAAATTTGTAGATTTGTCCAATAAAAATCTACATGATGGAAAATAACTGACACATGTATAGCACAATTTATTAATACATTGGCGGAACTAATATACAGTATATTGCAATTATTGTTTAACAGATCATTTTATCAGTTAGATTGAACTATTTTTATTATAAATAATAAATTTGCTATAATTATCTACATTGCGGAATTAAAATAGAAATGAATCAAGGGCTGGGTCGATGAAAAACATGAGTTGATATTACTAGCAACATTTTTGCCCGTGCGATGGGAAAATTTCCATCATGGAATAACTATTACAGTAAAAATTATAATACAAAAATTGAGATGGAAGTTATGCGCATAACCGGATGGTTCGAACATAAATCGTCTTATCTTCCATAGTCTATGCCATCGTGAGGAAGAGGATAAGCGATTAGAAGAACAAGAATGAGTGTGAAAGAGTTGTTTTTGCTGACATTTTAAATTATTAATTGTTTATTGAATAGATTTAGTGGTGTTATTTTTTGAGTTTTAATTGTTCTGTTATATATTGCTATTTTAATATATACTTTGAAAGAAAAAAAGTGTTACGCTACTCGAATTCTATCACTATACATCTCAGAATTTCTACCAAATATAGAAATAATTATTGCAATAAAGTGTTTGCTTGTGTGCTCGCAATAGCTTTCAATTTTGCTATGCACAAATAATAGGGCTGACGATTCAAAGCCTCTGATAATACAGTCTGCTCTCTCTAATATCAACCTCGCTAATATCAACATTCCTCTATTAGCAACATTGGTTATAGAACGGATTTCTCCTTATAAAAATTTTCCCGCATATATCAACTTTGATATTATATCCCATTAATATCACTATCAACATAATCAGATTTTCACTCTTAATCATATGTACCCCGCTGATATCAACATCAATATATTAAAAATTTTATTATTTCATAAAATTTACCCCATTCTTAATATGTATAGTATGTACAGTTGTGCAACATCAACATAAATTTAAATGTGACGTTGACTGCAAATTTTTTTTCTTCGACTTTTAAACATACACTGAGCGAAATTTATTGGCTGTAAGTATAACATACACCGCCTCCAGTTGACCGACTTTGACAAGGGTAAAATGGGTAATTTTTATTGGGGTTTTGAGTTGCAAGAAAAATGATCCGTGACTCGATGACGGGATAATGGTCTCTTGCCGAATGCAAGAGAAATAGGAAAAAAGAAAATTTACCAGGGTCTGGAAGGTCACAAGCTCTTAACAAGCAAGAAAAAAAATGCACATTTACAAGAAGCCAAAAAAGACAACCTAAGCCATTTCGTGATATTTGCAACAAAAAATCTTTGTAAACATTTACCTGAAGATTCTTTAAGATAATTTCGTCCTTTTCATATTTATTATGATCATTAATTTGAAAAAATATGGTGTTTCAGCTTAACTTTAACTATAACCCTAATTCTAAAAAGATCACAAAATAGGAATATTAATGATTATGAACCAATTAACGTATCCTCCCAGACCTGGCTTCATAGAATACATCTAGAAATCATTGTAAAACAATATTCTAAAGTGTAAAACTTTTCAAAAATTGTGAACATGCTCTGAAGAAAGCATAGTCAAAATTTAATGTGTTAGTTTGGGGTAGGATGTGAGCTCGATGCCATAAGGAATCGAGGTGACATTGAAGCCATATAGAGGATAGGTAATGTATTAGTTAATGGAAAAAAATTTTATGTATATAAAGCAGAAATGAAATAAATCGAAAATTTCATTTTTTAAAAAAATCGGGTGATACTTTTTGGGGATACTGAGCAATATACAGTATCACATGTTATGCAAATTATTATATATGACGTAAACTTCACTCCACTCTACCCTAACTCTAACTCTAACTCTAACCCTCTATGATTCCACCCCCGCATATATCAACTAAATAGACTGGTCCCACGATGTTGATATTAGAGGAGATAGATTGTATTACGAAGCCACTTTCTATATCTTTATTATAACAATAAATAAATAAATTTTCCGTTTGCATAACTGGAATTAGTAGTTAGCTTTTGTCCAATAAAAATGCATACAATGAAAAATAGATATGCCTGTAGCAAGATGCTTTTATTACTAGGTAATCAGAGCCTGATGAATGTCTGAAGCAAGTTTTTTATTAATAAATTCTGATCTCATCTGATATTTATCTAATTTGGTTTTACAAGTATATAAATTTTTTTATTTATTTTTAATTAAGCAAATTTGCGTGACTCATACAAAAAGATTCCAAAATTCCAAATTGAGCTAGACTAGCATTAAGCATCTGTGATCAAATTACATAATTTAAAAATCCTAAAAATGCCCACATGATAATTTTGCCATAGACAATAGTATAGTACTGTTACTGTAGTAACAATAAATCATTTAATTCTGCAATAATGTTCAAGTAATTTCTGCATGAAAATCTTATCGTAAACACTTTGGTGATCTCTCGTGAAGATCCTAATTACGTATTCTTTGCCAATTACATGATTAAATTCGGACAAGAATTTTATTGCCCATTTGCTGAATTTCTCATCAGTTATGACCCCAATCAAGAATTATACAACTTGATAATTCATTACATTGTTTGTCATCTGTTGTCGAGCACATCAAATGCTGGATTTTATTGTTAATTCAACACGTAATCTCATATGTACTTTAGAAAATCTTTATTTATTTTTTGACAGTGAGCTTCTGCAGAGTACGGAAACTGTGGATGATTCAAAAATTGAATTATTAGTTCAAAAAATTAGAACAAGAAATACAAAAAGGACTTGAATTACACCAAAAATGATTGAGTTATTGGCTTCATCTTCCCTTAAGCATGTGTCATCTTGATGAAAATAATGCCAAACAATTTGCACATAGTTATTGGCATATTGTGCTTAAAAAATCCTGGCCAAAAGTTTCTAGTTTGAAAGAACTTTGCTATGCAAAGTTTCTTAAAATAGATATTATAAAAGGAAAATTTAATAATTTCAGTTTTAAAAATATATTAATTGATAAACTATTCTTTCAAGAGTTTAGCTCATTTGTTAATGAATCAACGGTCCTACTTCATCAATATTCATGGCTCTATGACTCCATTAAAAATAAAATTTAGTATATTATTATTTATCAGCAACAAAATAGAAGACTTATTTAACAAGTATGATTTGAAAACTCACTGAACATGATTACTAAAACTCAACAATCCAAAATGCATCTTCCAACAACTGAAATAAAAGAATTTCAATTTACTGATCAACAGCCAAAAGAAATTCAAAACGAAAATAGAATGGCTTACAAGCAACAAAATTCTATCTCATTAAGTCTCCAATCAGATTTCCAGCGAGAACAAAATGCAAACGATCTTTTTAAAGAATTATTTATATGTCAATAAAGTTTTTATTTAATGTTTAACATTAACACTGTAATATTATACATGATTTTTTCATTACACATAGAATTCTATTGGCTAAATAACATTACCAGGATTAGTTGGGATCTATATGGGATGCAGAAATGTCAAATAATACCGATACGTAAAAAATCTGTATTAGTAAATTTTATTATGATACCTCATATAGACTTGATTATTTAGTATATGAAATACCCCAATGGTTCATGTTGCCTGAAAGAAAGACTAATAACCGCGACAATGAGACTTTTCGGATAGCTAAAGCGAAGTAGAACGTGAGCTGATCCTTGCAATTACGTATATGGTCAAATCTGTATGTCAATCGATTCAGTCTACTTCCATTTAAGGATAGTCGATAGTTAAATTTCGGCAGTATGAAAATGCTTAAAACAGATAATCGTATATATCTTTGGGTACTGTGGTCGTTTAACAAAACGCCGCCAGCCGGTTCCTGCTTTACATATACACTAAATATATCAGTTATTCAGTGTGTTTATAATTTGTCTATTTTTACACAAGTGCATTCCACTTGCCATATTTACCGTTAACGTCATGGTTGACTAAACTTCTTTAGAAATATTATACACAGTGAAATTCACTTTAAGATCGCTTTATAACGAAGTTCTTTCCAGAACGGATTCATATATTTCATATAAAAAGTGAATTTCACTGTGTACATTAAATTCTGATAAAGAATATGCAAAGTTCATGACAATGAATGAATGAATTCTGAAAATAAACTTGAAGTTTTTTTGGCAGCAACTCATAAAAATCGAAAGTTCCATGCATATTTGTAGTTATAGAGTAGGACTGTCTCAGGAAGGCGACATCAAGCCAGTGTGCAACTACAAGTCAAGTTTTTTTCGCGGTACCCTCACATTTAAACAAACCATTTAAACAATGACTTCCAAACCAGCGATTATTATTCTCTTATTCGCAATTTTCTGTCTATTAAGTCATGTCGCGCACGCAGCCGGTAGGTATCAGAGAAGTAACATATAAGCGGTATTAGAATGTTTATCTAAAATTTTCTTTTCTAATTTAGTAAATGATTGTCAATTCACCGTATTGATTGTGTCACTCTTCTAATATTAATATCAATTCCTTACTTTTTTGGTCACCACATTCGCAGTCCAAGCGGATAACCACAAGAACAACGTCATCAGACGCCAGGAACATCATGACGATGAGACACTTCCTGTCTTCCGCCTGCATTGCCCGGATGGAATAAACAAGGATCGAGTCATCGACCTAGCCCGCAGCCTGTACGGCATCTCAAACTACACCATCAAGTATATTGATTCACGCATCATCTTGCGCTCCGGTTCACATGTCGTCGAGGTCGACACGGTTAGTGGAGGAATCTGGACCGCTGACGAGGCAAGCCTATGGAACACTTCAATTCGACCGGAACTTGTGAGCGATGAACATGCCTCCGAAATTATCAATAATCTTATCCATAACCATACGCTGCTGCCAAAGTTCGACGAGGACGAACCGTTCCAGTTGGTATCTGGGAAAATTGGCGGAAGTCTTCTTGGTCAACAATCAATTGTAAATGGTAGTCGCATAACACACAAGCTCGATACGAGAACAAGCTATAGAATAACAGTCAATCTCCCCAAGAAACCTCATATTCCGATTATTGGCGGTGGAGCAAAATTCCAATTCGTCCTTGGAGAAGCAGGTCGCCTTATCGGATTTAACGGTGTATGGCGCCAACCTGAAAGAAAAAATTTTGAGGTCAAAATTATCCCAAAGAAGGAGACTGACAAAATTTTCCTCGATAAATTCAAGCATCAAAAGCTGGTCAACTTCACCTCCTCACTCGCATACTTTTCGGCACCGTCGTCAAGAACTCAGCAACACCTTTACCCTGTGTATGTTTACGACGGCACCTTGATGGTCAGCGGTAAACATGTTCCGTTGCGCCAGGTGATCTTGCCAGCCACACATTCTTTCCGTTTCCCAAGAAACAAATACCTCAGCAATCACGTTCGCATAATAAAACTAAGAACGAGAAACGCTTAAACAGCCGTAATAACCTCACATGTGGTACCGAGTGGATTGGCGAATCTGGTGGACTAGGCGGCAGTCATGACAATGCCCTGGGCTTCGTGAATGGTCTCTATGATGATGGCTGGGATGTCTCTTTCAACTGGGGCGACTTTAACGCCTTTAAATCGGACTGGACAACCGACAATGATGACTTGATAGATAACGTTGACTTTGTATTCTATACTGGCCATGCCAATGGGGACGGCTGGGTGCTCGATGGTGGGAATAGCTTTCTTACTTTTAACGAAATTGGCTTGCTCGATCGAGATCTCGAATGGCTGGTCATCGCTGCTTGCGGCCCACTTCAAGACGACGTAATTAGTCCCGGTGGAGGTGATGTCTTTCGCTGGGAACCTGCGTTCAAAGGTGGACTTCATCTATTGCTTGGTTACGCATCTGTCTCCTATGACAACACTGACGAAGGCAGATTGCTCACTCAATATGTCCGTGAAGGCCAAACAGTCATCAATGCCTGGTTCCGTGCAGCACAGGCGATACAGCCATCCGATATTTGGGTTGGCGCAATGTGGGTGTCGAGCCCCAGCAGCGATCCCAGTCAAGACCATATCTGGGATAGCGGTTCTTTCTCAGCTGACCCTATTAACTTTAATTCGATGAACGCTCTTTGGACATATTGCTAAGGATTTTTGAAGGGAATATATGAATAATCAACACGATCATTTGTTGTAGACTCTTACTTCTTAGTTGATCTATTAAGCACTGCCATACTATGATAAACATAAATCGTCTTCAATAATATTGACTACATGATCAGGTGAAGAGTGCACTCGGATTACCAATTGTCGTAATATTCATGCAAACGAGATTATTGAACATAACGTGAACATTATGGATCGTACAATTTATTTTCTTAGTCAGTGATGATCTTGCATAGTAACAAAAAGCATGTGAGGATGTTCTCATTGTTGCTGATTGTGGAGTAACATATTACTTATTCTAGGTATTTGAGAAACAAATAAATGATTTATTCTATGCTAAAAGAACGTAATTACAAGGTTTCGGGGATGTAACCCGCGATAAATAACAAGAACTATATAAATGATATTATAATTACACAACTATGAGAACTACATAGTTGCCAAGTCTATGACTCGTCGGATCTTCAGCTCTTAAACCTCGTCGGGCTCATGTCAAATATATATTATGCAATGCATTATTGTTGGCCAATCCATTAATAGCATCAAGTTGGTATTATTGCTAATATTTTGTAATTCCCAATTTTTATATTTAGATTAGTCTCATACCAATCTTTTGCATCATCTCTTAAACAAGTTCATGAATTCTCACTCTGGTTCAAGCATTTGCAAGTGAATCGTATCTGGATGCTTCACAATATTGTTAAAAATCTGTAATCCATTCTTCGGGATCCTCTCCAGCTTTTCCATGAAATAATTTTGGTGCATATCCTGCCATACCTGTTTGATTATTATTTATAGATAAATTATTCTGGAGCACAAAAATTTGCTGATTCAATTCAAAATTAATTGTCAGGCATCAATCATGTGTTTTATTTTTCCATTTTTCATATTTTGGAACAACACGATCATACCAAAATTGTAAAAAAACTTTGTCATATAATATTTTTTGTAGCTCCTGTTCTAACCAATAAATAGTTAACTTATAAATAATTTCAAGAGCACATTTAAGTTTAGATTGTCTACTCCATATTAAATTTGTATTATATTACAAGCAACCTCTTAAATTATATTTTTGCTGGTAGTTCTCAAGTTCTTGAGTAAGTTGATTACTATAATCTTGAAAAATATTTAATTTTTGAATAAGTTGATTAATATTATTTTGCAGAATATCTTGTGCTTGAATAAGTTAATTCATTTGGTTCTGAAGATTAGCATTTTGCTATTTATAATAATTGATATCTTGTTGTAACTGAACTATTTGATTGTTTCAATTATCTCATTGCTCTATAATATTATCTATATTCTGATATGCATTTTGATAATTATGTCAAATAGAATCTGATAGAATTATTCAGTGGCATATCAGCTCCTCTAAAATAATTCTCAATGCAATTTAAACCTCTGTCAATAGCTAAAAAAAGATCAAGATTTGCCATATCAATATTTTTATTAGTATTTTTATACAATATTAAAGTTTTTATTTTTTTATTAAGTGTATTAATAATTTTTTCCAAAAATAAGTAAGCCTTATATAGTTATAGATTCTAATAAGACTTATAATATTGAAAGAGAAATTATACTATGTAAAATTTATTATCAACCCAGTGGGTATTATTCTAATGTTCGAAAACTTTGAAAAAATCTTAAAAAATAAGATATGATTTTTCATATAAAAAAGTTCATGATTGGTTATATAATCAAAGTACAGTCAAACTTCTCTATAGTCATCACCCTCAGGAAAGCAAAATTTGGTAACTATAGAGGGAATGTGACTATAGAGAGATTTTTTTACTATATTTATATGTAAATGGGAAAGCAAAATAAGATGACTATAGAGAGGTGTAACTATAGAGAGGTTTGACTGTATCTGACAAATTTTCTTCACCAAAGAATATTTCTAGAGTGAGTTATAGTAAAATTTTCTGACCAAATTCCGTATATATGTGTGACTTGTTATATCTTACAAATGATATGGTAAATAAAAAATATACAAATGAGTACTTATTATTATAGATATTGCATTATGTTTTAAATGTGCTATTTCTCTCATATCAAAGAATAGTTTAAAAGTTGCTAAAGCCTTTAAAGAAAATTATGATAATTTATCAAATTCACTTATATGACCAATACTTTTACAATGTGACCAAGGCGTGAGTTTATGGATCAGACAAGTAAAATTAGAGAAGAACATAATGTAACAATTCGACTAATTGGTACATATAGTCATCGAGAACTTGCAATTATAGATAGATTTTGTAAGACACACACTGAAATGCTTTATAAAATTCAGTATGCCACAGAGAGTATAACTTCAAATTCTAAATCAATAAGAGTATGGGTCAAGCATTTGCCAAAAGTTATCGATTACTTGAATAATTGTCCAATGCGTTTCATTAGAGCTCCAGATAAGATCCAATACCCACCTCAAAGTATATTATTAGAAGATCGACACAGTCAGTTTCTGAGATATCATATGATGCTTTGCAAAACAAAAAATTAACTAAGGCGGAAAAGTATGCCAAAAGACGTGAAGGGAGTGTCTTAGCAAAAACTGGTAACATAAATGGCTATGATATTTACCTCTGGTTCTGCAAAAATAATGCACATCAATGGAAATATCCATTGAAGTTGATTACGAAAAAGTTTGAATGGTGCCCATTATGTTATCACACAAAAGGGGCAAGATATATTTTCGAAGTTCTATTAGGTAAAAAGTTTCCGCCATGTGCACCAAAGTTCCTAGAAGGGTTACATTTAGATGGTTACAATCAAGAGCTAAAATTAGCGTTCGAATTTAACGGACCACATCATTATTACCGTAATGATTTGTATCACAGAAAAAATGGGGAAACCGATTTACAATCTCAAAAAAATCGTGATTAAAAAAGCGAGAATTATGTATGCAACAAGGTATAGACCTTATTGAAATTCCATATACTCGCGATCTTTTACCCTACATCTGCCATACATTAGTAAAAAAGGGTTATTTGTCAAATATTAATATCGAATAATTTTTTTAGTACTATTGCCAAATATAATAACATTTATTATTTAAAAAAAATGTCACGTAATAAGCTTCATCTATCTCATGATGAAAAACTTGATCGGTGCGCAATGTTTATTTATCATATTGACAAGTGCAAGAATGCAGAAAGATTCAACAGTCTCAACTCGATCCCACAATGGCCATTCAATTTATTAGTCAGTGAACGAACTAAATCGGGGAAAACAAATATGATTGTTAATCTTTTACTCGGGAATAAAATATATTGAATGTTTAAGAAGTGGAGCTTCGAAGCTCTGCCTCATGGGAAAAAAGATGGCACACGTTTTATGATCTAGTTTTGATTGGACACCATCTTAAAGAACCCAAATATAAATATTTGAGGTATTGTTACCAAATTATTGCGAGCAGTCCAAAGCCATATTGTGAAAATATTACATTCCAATCAAAAAAGCCTGACAAAATACCAAAAATTGATGAATTTTTTCCTGAAAGAGGGACAGTGGTTATATTCGAAGATTTATGCAATGAACCTAAAAAGGTACAGGAAAAAATCATCCCTTACTTCACTGAGGGATGTTACTCCAATATAAGTTCAATCTACGTAACTCAAAGTTTTTCGATTGTCCAAAATCAATAAGAAAAAATTTAGATTATATTGTGCTCTTTAACGGAGCTGGTATATACGATGAATTAGTTGATATTATTAGACGGTATACAAAAAAATATCGTAATGTTGTTAATATAATCGATAAGAATTTGCAAAATTAGCAGTTCATTGTAATTGACTTGACTAGAGCGAAAGAGGATCCACTTTATATTCAATTGGGTTGGGATCATGCTTTGAAATTAGACACATAGAATAATATTTATGTTAAATAGGTACGTTACTAATCTGGCGCATTTCTGCTCTAATATTTTGTAAACATGCATATGTAAGACAAGTTTCTGAGCATTGAATCCATCAGGGCGGTAAATCCATTCCATGATTTTTCTTTGTATCTTTATACATGCTTGAATCTTTTACCAATTTCTCTTGCACGTTTGAGTCTCCTGATCGCATTACATATTGGCGAAATTAGATTTTTGTTTAATTTTCAAATACTCTTCGTAATTTACATCACAGTATTTATTTCCAGTACATGAAAATTTCCAATACCTCTCCATTCATATATGGTTATAATTTCCTATATTCTTCTTTCTTTGTCCAATATATACTAACTGATCACAAGAGAAACAGATTGCTATTCCGATTTCAGGAGCATATGAACCACCATTCGGAAATCGTATTAATTTCCTAGCTTCAAGATATCTTTTACTCTGATCCGGTAAAAGATCATTTTCTCTGAAATAAGTTAGACGCTCCCAAATTCATCTTTTTCACTTACCTGGAGTTTCATTTGTTCGAATTTGTGGCATATGACAATATTCATACCATTCATCATCATGAATAGAAACCATTGTATATAACCTATTTTATGTTATATTGCGTTGTGATATACTCGATTTAAGTGTATTTTGCGTTTTAGACTTATTTTTTATCAACATACTCTTTATAAATTTACAATTCAATTTTAGTTTAATCTGTATAAGTAGAAACTATATAATATAAAAAGTGATGCTTTGCATATGGCTTCGCCGTAACAGAATTTCTTATCAAAAATGAAGAAGTGAAGCTTCAAGTCTCCGACACATCTGACATAGATAACCTTATCCTTCTTTTACAGCAAAAATTCCAAATGTCACGTAGTGGTACCACAGAAAAATTAGAACAATGGAGAATCAAGATAATCTTGAATTTCGGGATAACACACATTACTGGAAAAAAGAACGCGAGAGTATGAACGAAGTTGATTTTATAAAATATAAGCAGGAATATGAAGCCCGTCTTGGTGTTCCTACTACACCATACAAAAAAGAGTTAAATAAACTTTATTTAGCATTTATTGAATATGTATAATTGTAGCATTTTTGACAC